CTGCAACGATCATCTGGTCCAACTGCCTGACCACTTCAGGGCAGATTCAGAATTAGCAGAAGGGGGCAGAGTGCAGGTATTCCATGCTGTAGTAGTTGTAATCATTGAAAGGACACAGTGGTAGAGAGTGCTAGGAAGAGGTATGCATTAAACAAGAGAAACGATGCCCCAAACTCCACATCCAAAACAAAACTAAATTGCCAGGTAGCCTTCCAGAATATGGGGTGTGATTAACCTTAACCCCCTTCTCCTGCCTAGCCCTCCCCAGCCCCCAAAACCAACCAACCAACAACAACAAAAAATCCAGGATATACGTAACTGGTATATTCTTCTACTGCCATGGAACCTTAACTCTGTCTTGTTTGCTTGGTTCTTCTGAGACACTGTCTGTCTTCACTGTTTACTGGAAATACTGTTGTCACTGCAAAGCTACAGGAATTCCAGGTGGCACAGAGAGAGATGTCTCCTGTACCTCTGTAGGGAAGAGACAGAACTGCTCAAGTCAGGCAGGTGTGATCAGCAGGGATGATGTATGACAGGGCAAACAGCTTTAAGTAATGCCATCATCATGTAGTACAACTAGCAGTTGAAGAGTGTGCACAAAATGCTGCATATCTGCTTTTGAAAGCCTTTCCTCATCAGACCATCCCCAGTGGGCAGAGCTGAGATTATTGGGGAATGTGGTGTGTACCTTCACCTTGTGGCAATTTGAGCTACCCTTGACATCCTGCAAGGCAGTGGGATGCAGATCAGTCCATTGTTAGGCATTAATGAAGTTTTGGGCACTTACATACCTAATAAGCAACCTTTTGGGGCTTTCCACCCCCAGTTCTGTCATATTTATGAAAGCAATTTCGGAGCATTTAAGAGGGATGCAGCGAGAGGAAAAAGTTGAGAGTGAGTAAGATCATCTGAATGGTGAGAAATAAAATAACAGTATATTTAGGTACCTGGGGGAGAGAATATGAAGGAGGAGTGCCATCCTTTTGCAGTGAGGAGAAAAAGAGAGATGGAGGAGGTAAGCAGAATAACAGTAAAGGAGCAGATGGTCCAAGAAAGGTAGTACAAACTAATAGAACTAAGGTGAATATACTGACTGGAAAGTGTCTGGAGGAAGGATAAAGGACACACTTATGTGCAAACAGTTGGTGAAAAAATCTGTAATCTGGAATTGGTGAGCAAAAGAGACATCATCCTAGAGCCCGTGATGACTTTCTTCTTTTTTCCAAATGGCAAATCATAATTTGTTAGCAAGAAACCAGTGATATATTTAAAATGTTGTCTACAACTATGTAGGTCACCAAAGAATGGATGTTAAAATGCTACAGCCGTTCTTTGAAGCCGCTTCTGTTGCAGTCTTAGGTATGTGAAGTAACTTGTTTGTGCTTCATCTGCTTGGTTATGTCAGCACTTCCCTTCATGCCTCAGCTCTCTACAGAAGCTCGGTTTCAATGTTAAGCATTTTTATGTTCCTAGCCTTTTTCTTAAGGGAAACCTTTTCTGTCCTTGTTACTGGTCTTGAGCACTTAGAAAGGAAGTCTCTTTCCGTTACCTATTTAATAATTGCATTTTCTGTCCAGCTAATGATTCTTCTAGAAATTGTTATTGAGCTTTCAAAACCCCTTAAGCCATATATATTAATGGGTACAGCAGAAACGTTAGCTAATCTGTTCTCCTGGCTTTGGTGGAGTACAAGTGTCACACTGGAGTTTTGCATGGGGCTTTTGTGCGATCGTGGGAGTTGGAGTTACTGAAAGACTCCTTTGTAAGCAGAGAAAACTGGTGGTGGTTAATCTGTATGTGAGCAGATGCTTTGATGTAACCTTTGTCTGCGTGCCAACTGTAGCACGTGTAGTTTTCAAGATACAGTGACTGTGAGGTCTTCATCAATCCTGTATTTTTCATCTGTGGGAAGAAATTATGGCAGCAGTTGGATGAGTTATATACGTTCTGACCTTAGCTGTGGAAATGTTTTACACTTACAGATACATTTGATTTTTTCATGTGGTCTAGTGGTTTTATTTCTCCTTCTTTTAGCAGAAATCAAGGATCATTCTAGATTTGCTTGATACTGCAGCTTGGTAGCTGCAAAACTTGTTTGACGATAATACGTATGTCTGCCCTTCGTGAAGACTTTTTTGCACGCAAACATATGCCTGTGGCACATGTTCATGTCTTTCACCAATATGCTCTGTGAATGTTAGTTTGCGGCTTCCTGGCTCAGGACTGACTTATGCTCGGTTCTTGTGCTGCTGTTTACTGCTGCTGGTTAGAAACTATTTTGAGTAAAGCAGAGGCCCTCCGATTTGGCCATTTATAACCTCAGTGGTTTTATCTGTATAAATTAGTTTCTGAAATGCTATGCAGATAAGTCCTTAATGTCATGGGAAGTGACTGAGATTTCACTGTTTTGTGGGGGTTTTTTGTTTTTTTTTGTTTTTTTTTTAATTTTTTCTTTATTCCATGCTTCTTGAGCTTCTGCGAAAGTTACTACAATTAACAGCAGCGTTATGACTTTCGATTCTTGCTAAATCTTCTACTGTACAACACACTACTAAAGGATGCTTTCTATATGGTGTTATGGGAGAAGGAAATTTGGCTTGGAAAGCCAAGTGTTGCTTTGACTACAAAAGAAAGCAAAATTTGTTGTATTTGTTGATGGTTCTAAGAATAATTCCAGTTGCAGAAGTGCAGACACCTGTATATGTGCGTATAACTCATGTATAACGGATTTCAAGATGCAAGTATAAAAGTCTTAATTTTTGAGAGAGTTTGTAGTATTAGAAAGATTTATATCTTCAGTAGGCAAGCTTAAATGGACTGCTAATAAATAAAAATACAAAGGGATATACATGACAAAGAAACATGAACTGAAACTATAACAGAAGATTGAACTGGCAAGGGGAGGGAGAGAGAAATACCATTCTGTTATGATCCACTCTCTGAAAAGCTTGACTTGATGTATGGGGGTGCTAATTAAGTAAGGTAGCTCTTTGTAGTCAGTCTTTGCTTCAGTGAGAAAATCATTGCTTATATTTGCCATCTGATTAGACAAATATTTTTAGGTGAGATTTCTTGAGTGCATTAAAGAAAAGAAAACAAAAGAAAATGCATACCCCTAGCATTAACTGGGATCTTAATATAGTAACAAGTATGCAGGGCAATGAATAATTGATTTAATAACTTCTGATTGTTCTGCAGACTGTAAATAAAGTAAAGGTGCCTGCTGTCTTAACAGCTTAGAGTACTAGACTTTGCAGGAAAAACTGGTAATTATTGTTAGTTTTCTTTTGAAGGTTTCCTTAGGTGCTTCTTTTAGCTTTGAAAAGTGTGTATGTGGGTAAAGAACATATAAGCTGACAATAAAAACCTCTGTAGTTCTGTTCCTTCTGCAATTGTCTAAGTATTTGCAGTTCAAAGTATTAACTTTTTGTGACTACTTTTATCACTGCTACTGCTGTAGACCTCAGCTGATTAATGCAGGATATATGGTATCTTATGCAAATATCTCTAGTGATGTTTTCCCACAAGTGTCACAGCTCTTATTCAATGTGTTGCCACTTAAAATGCTTTCATACTGGAAATGAATAAAATGTAAGCTAAGCTTAAAAAAATTACACAGCAGATTGTTCTGACATCTGATGAAGTCTGAAGTGCTGACTTTTGGTTCAAACAGAATGGTCAAATCCTCGATTTAAAGAAAAAAATACATAATTGTTTTGGAAGAGCTGTGTATGGAACACAGGAATTATCTACAAATTGAGTCTTGTGTGTTTATCTGGAATGTGGCTTTTTCCTTGAATCTGTAGTTCAAACAGATAGGGAAGAGAGGAATGTCTGTAGCAGAAGTAGCAATCATTGTGGTTACTTAATTACTAGAGCTGGATGCTCCTTTGTGCTGCAAATGAGAATCTCTCTCTAGTTCAAGAAGATGCTATAGTACTACTTATGAAAAAGTGAAAATTCAACAAGAATTGATGTTAGATCATACACATTGATGTAGTTGCTAAATTTGAATACATTAACTTTACACTGCTGTTACACCTATGAAATTTGGGTGCTGGTAACTACAGTATATTTTAGGGTGCCCTTTATTATCTCTAATCTTTCTCTGATTATCTCATTATTGGCTTACATTGTTTCATTCTTTTTTTTTTTACCCCCATGTCTTAGAATATGTAAGGTAAATTTCAGCCCTGCTTCAGGCTTTGCATGGAAAGATGAGCTGATTCCAACCCAAATTCTTCAGTCACACAGAACTGAGACTGTCTGAAGTCATAGCAGTAGCTCTGAAAAATGTTCATAGTGGGAATTCTGTGTTCTAATGTACAACGGCTCAATCTGTTAATGGTAGTCAACCTTGGGGTGAAAAGAGAGAGCATGCCCATATGTACACAAATTGTGAATTTCTAAAAACATATATGAAGATTGTTCAGAATTAGAAGGGAGGTTGGCTTTATTTCAAGTGTAGTATGGAACTGTCATTTTCTTGCATTGTGGGGCAAGTTCTGTGTACATTAGAAAAATAATCAATTTTCATTCAGTTTACTGGTTGCCCTTGTTTTTTCTTGCTTTTTCATCCCCCTACCGTGTCTCAAACAGATATTGGTATAAACAAACAGGAAGAGCATCAGAAATATTTTAGCTATTGTGCATGTCCACGTATTTATTTTTTTATGCTTTTAACTAATAGGGTAGAAGATGTCCTGCAATTCAACAAAGTGTTAAATAGGCTTTTTTTAATATTAGAAAAATTTTGCCTGTGCAAACACACTAATTAAATCTGCAAAGCATTTTATTTTAAGTAGATTTCAACAACTGAACTTGGCAATCTGTTTCAAAAGAAAAGTTAAATTATTTAAAATATGCTTGGATTGTACATTTAGATGGCTGCTTCTGGACCCAGTGTAGTGTCTGCCAAATATTTAATTTTAGTTAATGATAGCAGTATTCCTTGTTTTATGTTGAATTTTAAAATGTCATTTCATTACTAGGATGCCGGGGGAAGTCATCACAAAGTCTCTGTTTCTCCTGTCGTCCATGTCCGAGGGCTGTGCGAATCAGTTGTGGAAGCAGATCTTGTGGAAGCTCTTGAAAAGTTTGGAACCATATGGTATGTCAAGCAGTATAAAGTCATGTCTCTGGACAAGTTGGGAGCCTTATTTAAGAGTCTCTTGGACCTCTTTAAATACATGGTGACAGCCATTTGAAACCCAGAACTTAGTTAATAGTAAAGTATAAAGATTTTTAGCTGTGCAAAGATTCTGTGTTTCTGTACCTGGCGAGTCTGGTCAAGCAGAGTTGCACTGTCTGCATGCCCTAGTGTCTGCTCTCAGACTTCAGTAGCACAGCTAGTCCTGGCCTTAATATGAGCTGTAGCTAAACTGAATTGCAGAACAGCGTGAGGGTGGTTGTCTTGATATGAGTGAATATACAAAAAATAAGGATGGGCCACAGAGCAGATGATGCTTTTTCCTATGGTTTTGTATGGGAGGAGTGCTTGTGGTATAGTAGGAGCTTCAGAATGAGATGGTTATTCACAGAAAGCCCCTACAAAGGTCATATAGCCTAAAGATTCCTCATCTGTGAACAAGATAGTAAAGGTGAATGGGTAGAGCCAGTTCACTCTGAGTTTTGAGTGCTGCTTTTTGGAAACGTGCATTTCTTTTCAAGTAAATGCATATATTGAAGTCAAATAGGGTTTTGTAAATAGTACAATAGTATTTTTCACTGCCTTAATATTCAAATAATTGAATTATACTTGTACCAGTATCTTAAAATAAATAAAATGAAGTGAGCACAAGCTTGTTAAGGAATACAAATAGATACGTTTTAGCCTGAGAGTTTTACTTTTCAGAAACTTAATCAGCTGACAAAGCTTCTTGAGTTTGTCTGTGTCTGAATTTGGTTAACTAGAATACTTCTGTTTATTTCCTCTAAGGTAGTTTTATGTCAAAAATAGTATTTTAAATTTCTTAGCAACAGCAAAGATGTTTAATGTATCAACTTTGAATGTATTTCATAATTTGCATTTACTTTGATCCTTTACCTCATAAATGGCTTTAGCAAGTTTTTTTAAATATTAATTGTAGTTTTAGTAAGTTAGTAAATGATCAACTGTTGTATTGGTTGAACACTTATGCATTAAACTTTTTCAGGAAAACTGCTTATTACTTATTTATCTTGTAGCTGAATTTCTTGTTTTGTGCAGATACTTTAGAAATGTGTTGACCAGGTTTGGGAAGTGCGAGCAGGGAGACATACCTTCCTTTTATGTCCTTGTTAGGAATTGTTTAGAAAAACCGTATCATATGTGAGAGTTACGGGACTTTGGAGTTGTTTTGAGTAAGCATATAGGAGAACTTACTGTAATGTTTCTCTCACCAGCTATGTCATGATGATGCCATTTAAGCGCCAGGCTCTGGTGGAGTTCGAAAATGTAGAAAGTGCAAAGAAATGTGTAACGTTTGCAGCAGATGAACCTGTATATATTGCTGGACAGCAAGCCTTTTTCAACTACTCAACAAGTAAGAGGATTACGCGGCCAGGGAATACTGATGACCCATCTGGTGGAAATAAAGTTCTCCTGTTGTCAATTCAGAATCCTCTCTACCCAATTACAGTGGTATGTTTCTTCTTTTTTTTTCTTTTTTTTCTTTAATAAAATAATAAAAGGCAGGGAGCAGCAATTTCTGTTACAATATTTCCATTGTGTACAAATAGTTCACATATGTAACATGCATGTTCTAGAAAAAAGGTTTTTTGAGATGATTCAGTCTCATTGTACAGATATTTTGCAATACATTTGAAGACTTAAGTGGTCAGGATTTTGAAATATTTAAGTAGCTACATGCTTCTGAAATATTTCCAAATGTGTTGCCACAACGTCAGGAATGTCATTTAGCTTTTAGGCTCTGAGTGGTGTATGTTTAAATAGCAAGTAAATTTTCCAGTAGGAGGGGTTATTTTATTGCAGTCCTTCATTCTTAGGTATTTCCATTGTGGAAAGTTGAAACCTTCATCTGTTGATGACCAACATGGAATCTTCCTCGCTTTAATTTGGGCTGATACATTTTACTTTTCAGTATTTCAAGTCATACCATATACACAGTTGCATCCTAATTTATTGCCATCTATTATGGCACATGTGCATGTTTTTTTAATGATACAGATATTTTTTGCTAGCACCTAAGAATGCATGTTTTGTCATGCACTGAATGCTTATATTTTTCATAGAGATTTTATAGTACGCGTTGAATTGCACAGAAATATTTCAGGAAAAATTTAAAAAGTAAGCAAACTTGTAATACTGTGATACAAGTGTAAGTTACTTGCTCTTAGGGAAATATATAGATATATATATAGATAGCATGGATCAATCAAAGTGTTTGGGTTGTGTGGAGCCATGTAACTTAATGCAAGTATTAAGTTTTGTTTAATGTGTTGTATAATATGTTAGCAAATTGATTGAAACTTAGTATTCCTGAAATTACTTCAAGCAGTCAGTTCCATATCATGCTTTTTGCTTCACTGTATTGTGATTATTGATAGGTTTTTGCCTGTTGATTCATTAGTGGATGATGAATTTTCTTTCTCCTGTCAGTTTTCTTTATAGAAAAGCATGGCAAGGTATGAGTTGCTTTTTCATCAGTGTTTAAAAATATACCTGCTTTGAGCTGTGTGTACGAATCCACTAAGTTAAAGTATTCTTTGCATGTGACTATAATACAAATTTTGGAAACTATGTTTCATTCATGCATTTTAAATTTGGCTTGCATAAGCAGCTGAGTTGAACGTAGATTCTTGAGGAAATGGGTAGCAGAGAGGCATTGTCCTGGGCTAGGAGAGTTTCATGGGAATTCTGAGGATGAAGCCTCTAGTGCAGTAGCTCCTTTTTGAAAACAAACGACACTGCCTCCCCCACCCCCCTGCAACCTCTTCCTTCCCGCTGCCCCCAACTGTTTGTCTAGAGTATACCAATGAGCACTAGAAGCAGACAGATTTCCAAAATTACTTGCGAGCATCAGAGCTCATTGAAGATAGCGTAGACTAGTAGAGTCATAGAACTGGGAAGACCAATTGTACCCATAACAGCTAGGAATGTGATGAGAAAATACAAAAATTTTGCACTTGGCCAACGGGTTAAAGAAAACAGTTAACTTAAGAATGCCTCAGGCAAAGTCTGCAGTATTAGAAAACAACAACAACAAAAAACAAACCCCAAAAAACCACGAAGCCCAACACCACCTCTTCCTCTTCAACACTCTTCTTTCCTTAAATTTGAACTACAGTTAGATGAAATACGTGAAGAATTGCAACCAGTTTTAAGTGGCAAGTCTGAATAACTGCAATAAACTGTTCCATAGTTCTTAAGAGTTTTTCTTTCAAAACAAGATACAGTTTTTGCAGAGAAATTGGTCTGCTCAAGCGTGTCTTGTGGAAGAAGCTAAATTATTCTAAAATTTTGCTGCATCTTATTTCCTCCATTGCAATTGTGACCTGCTTCTTTCCTAGCAGAATTTTTTTAGAGGGGTGTGGCAGTGAATGGCAAGAAGGGCAAGTTAACTGTATTTAATTCCTAATTGCTTTCCACCCCTTTGTGATGGGGGGTTGGTGTTTTGAAAAAGTTTTGCCTAAGGTGTCATATATAGGTCTTTGAAGTTCTGTTACCCAGTTTCCTTATCTGTGGGCAGAATGTTGTCAGGGATTTGTCTGTAAGAACAGACAAATATGTCCGTTCAAACAGACCTTCTCAAAGTGAACCCTGCTGCTGCAGTCATTACTGTCTGTTCAGCTATACCTCTGCTGTTGCCTCTTAGTTCTCTACCTTCTAAACCTTCTATACATGCACGAGGAAGGTGTGGTATGCCTTGGCAATTGAAATGTTTTAAACTTAACTATCAATTTCTTCTGAGATTAGGTTGCTGCACCTCCTTTTTTATGATGTTCTAGTATGTATATAATGCTAGTGGGATATTTTAAATAAAAAATTAACGTGTTACTGTATCTTGTGAATAACTTGATTGATTTGGTAATCTAAAGTAGCTGAATTAAAAAAAGAAAAAAATCAAGCGCTGTGTGTGCCTGCTGGCTAACGACACTGATGGCATTTTGAGTGAGCTTACATTTTGAAAGACAACTTTTTTTTTAATTAAGTGGCTGTGAAGAAATCTTTTGAGAGAGAAATTGTGAAAGAAAGTCATATGCCTGAAAACTAATGTCATCTGGAGCTGGAAAGTTTTCAGGACTCTTTTCTCCCAAACAAGAAGAGATGGAGGGCAGCTGTTTGTGCTATTGAATGTGCATAGAAAATATACCTATAAATGATCTCATAAATCTTAGTTTTTAGGGACTCAGGCTGCTTGAATCCTTTCTAAAAATGTCTGTCCATCTTCTGAAAATCTTAAAGTTGACAATCTCCTCTGCTTGCTTCAGTTAGCTATGCAAAACACTCACTGGAGTGTCTGGAGCAAGGCCCCTGAGCATGGACAATGTTTTTGGTTTGTCGTGGCTGGTTTTTTGTTTGTGGTTTTTTTTTTAGTGGTAATATGCCCATATATTAAAGCTTATGGTACTTTGTATAAGCCAGGAGTTAACACCACTGCAGCTGTAGCCAGCAATAAGACATCCTCTTTTTCTAGTTTCTTGTATGTGTGGGGGGGTATGTGGGGGTGTGTTTGTTTTGTTTTTAGGAAATCCAGCATGCTCCCCACCTCTTTGCCTCCCAATTGCTCCGCTATTCTGCAGAACATAATAATAAATAATATACCTACTTCCTTTCCCCCTTCTCCTTCTTGTCCCCAAAATAAACCTGAGGATGTACACTAAGATCTTGAAATGAGCATTTTGGAAGTATTTGGTTTAGATATAGAGAAAGGAAGGGAAAAATAGATTGTGGGAATGTTTCACCAAGATGTCAGTGCCTTTGCCTGCTAGGTTTAGTTATGAAACTGGCTGTCCAGTAAAGCCTATGTGCTTTCAGCTGTTTGAACATGATCTCTAACAGGTGAATTGTTTCAAGAAATCACAGTTCCTGTTTGTTCAGGTTCTCAAGCCTGAGTTTTGGGAATTCTGAGTATGGGTGTATAATCACTCTAAAACAAACATATTTTTCTTGGTCAGATTCATGCTGGGGACTAGTTTCTGGTACCATGTCTGAATTGTTATGTGTAATTGACTGTTGTTTGAGATACTCCTAGCACTGCATCATAAGCCTGGCCTGATGTGCAGTAAGGCGAGCTTTTCTCCTTAGTGTTTGGTTGCCCTGCAGCGCTGAAGATGGTCTTGAATTTTATTGGTTCCTTGTAATACAGACAAATGCTGGTGAAAGCAGTGTGTTAACAATGAGTTTGCATGAATCCAGTGTTTCCTGTCAGAAGTTTTCTCTGCCTTAAGTGGAGAAGCACAGCAACCACCATTCAGGTGAATACGATTGAAATTCTGCTTTTGATAAGCTACCTAAGCTTACATAATGGACTACCCCCAGTTACTCTTCTGAAAATGAACATGAACAATTAAAAAAACCCCTCAGCTGCTAGATTCTTATGAAATGGAATGTGCTATAACAACAGTGTCACTTTGTCTTTCTTTGGTTTGGTAAAACTACTGCAGTGCATGCTTAAAAGGGAGCACAGCTTGAGACATGGATGCAATTACTGGGTTTTAACACAGTTGAAGATACTTGTTAAACTAATGTTTGCATGAGTACTTCTAATAAGTTTTTTCCTGTTTTTCAGATTTGACTGCCTATACTATATTAATCCATAAAAATGGTAAC